TCTAATTTGCTTATTATTCTATGAATAGATTGTAAATATATCTAGTAAAAAATAAAAAATAAAATCATTTTATTATGTATTATTATTATTATTTGATATGTTGATAGGCCGATGTGGGGGGGGCATGGCCCACTGGCCCCCTCATGGCTACGCCACTGACCTAAGAGGTAACCTAGTATACAATACTATAATATTATGTATTTCCCAAATGGAATACGGATAAATAATATATATTGGTCAGGTTATTATATTGATTAATTAGTACCTACAAATTGTATTTTTAATGTATGGTATTTTATTTTTTGTATTTAATCAATGGTTGAGTGAATCGACTTTTTATTTATTATATGTATATATATTATGTATAGGAACAGTAAAAGATGTTCAGATTATATATAAGTATATTAAACTAAACAAAAAAAATGTAAGTAATAACTTATTTAAGCTATTACTTACATTTTTTTAAAATATATTTTTAATTAATTTATAATTTAATATTGATATTGCAGAATATTGAGTACCTATACAATTTAAATATCATGAAATAACGTGTTGGTAATTATTGAAATATGAGATTGATCTAGAATGTTCGCGGGCTTTCCTACGTATCGACTATCGATGTTCGGCCCGTTAGGCGTTCGGGTACATGTTATAACTTCTATGTAAAACTCATATCCGCAATAATAGACAGTAGACGCCTGCAGCGCAGCTAAGTGGCGACTGACGATAGTGACTAATGACTAAATGATTAATTTATTATTGTAAGAACAAACTATTATTTGAAATTCGAATACGACTATCAAGTATCAGCGCCCCAGCCCCCAGCGGCTTTCCTGTGCGGACACGGGACAGTGTGAGTTTTCGAATGTTCGTGTGTTTTCTGTGTTCGACGTTCGTCACTAATCCTTCTCCTCCAACTAATTATTATTAATTTTCTATTGATATTCCCTTGGATACTGGAATACTGGATAGTTATTACTTATTAGTTTACTCTGTTCTACGCAAATTGTCAAGTCTACGCTCAGCTGCCTGTTCTTTGTTACAAGTAAGTATACTATTTTAATATTATAACATTAATATACTGCCGTCATAAGCAAAAACGCCGTAAGTCCCAAAAAAGTATAAAGTAATTTTTTTTAATTTATAAATTTACTGAAAAATAATATATTTGTTTTGTATATATTGGGGAGAATGTTGTACCGGCACCATTCTTATTTAAAAAATTCTAGTACCTTCAATTTTGAATATTAAATGTTCATTTTTACTATTCATTTAGACAATATACATAAGTATATGGTAATTTTTTTTAAAGCCACAATATCAATTATTTTTAAAATTAAAATTTGTTTTTTAAAAACACAAAAAATGGTCCAAGGTACAACATGTATTGTACCTTGGTATTTGGTGTATTGTACCTTGGTTGCATTGAAATTTGCATAGGTACTTAATTTCAAAAATAATTTTATATTATGTATTTGATTAGTTATAAATATCTAGTTATTATTTATATTAATTATATAAATATATTTATTATTATTTATTATTATTTATAGATAACTAGGTACCTATAACAATACACAATAATTAGAAAAGTAGATAATAAATAAATTTCAGTCTCATGTTAACTCTTAAGTCTTTATATCTTTTATAATAAACAAAATGAAAACAAAATAAAATTAGGTATCTTCCTAGACAATAACAATGACAATATAATAACAACTTTTAGTCTTAAAAATAGCCTTCTTGCTATAATAAGAATTTTGTAATTATTTTAACTATAATGGTTAGTTAATAAAGTAAATAAAACAGTAAAAATAAACAACAACTTTTAATTAATACTTAATAGGTAATAGTTTAACTCTTTCAGTCTTAAATAAACTTATAGAAACAGTTTTTTTTTAAATTAAAAGTAAATTAATTGAACACTTTTTAAACCCTAATTATGTCTTATCATATTGTATTATAACTTGTAACTACCTACTAAAATATTTTTTTAAAAACAAACTGAACATAATATTATTAGAAATAGGTATTTCATTATGTATGTCAGCCAAGAATATAAGAAGAAAAGTCAATTGAAAATGAAATTTGTGTAATTTGACGTTCAGAACCACCATTTAGTATTGGCAATGGTAGTTTCCTCACTATTTCATTATCTGTTACCTCATCATGATCCATTACCATGATCTTTACCATCAATAAATTTGTTGCCACTTGTCTTATGAAAATAATTGATGATATAATTGCTACCTACTACATCAACAATTTCAGCCACATATAGTGAAGACATCTTTTTTTCCCTCTAACTTTAATGAGAATGAAATTACCTTGTTTAATTTTGGTTCTGAGTAAATAGTCTTCTTCTCTTTGATCTTTTTCCATCTCAACAATTACTATCTAAAGATTTACAAATTATATATATATCTAAAGAAAAAAAAAATAAAAAAAAATAAAATAAATATACAATAATTATAAAATTATATTTTCCAAGTACCTACTTACCTACATTTGGTAGTTTCAAATTTTTTTTTTAAATAAAATGTTTTAACAACTTACATTATCAGGGACATTATCTAGGTATTTATAATGTATTTTATCCTAACAATAAACAAAAATTTTTTTTTTTTTTTCAAATTAGGATAACATTTTTTTCAAAAATTACTAAAAATGATACCGTATCGAAAAAAAATATCATTGAGTAGCCGCTCTAAAAGAAGACGTATAGCAGAAGAGGTAGAATATAGTAAGACATCATTACCTCAACTAGAGAATAATACAATTTTTCCGACATCAAATATAAATTTATTGGTTGAAAATCCAATCACTGAGTTTGATCCTAATCGTTATAATAATGTTGCAATGACATCAACTGATAACACACAAGCCGAAAAATCTATTGAAAATGTAATAGTTTCTAATAATCGCGTATCAGATTCAGTCCAAATTCTAAATAATTTACTAGACCCAGAAAGTTCACCTACAATAGAAGAAAGTTTTCTCTCATTTAATGAAACCTCACAGTGTGATGAAATATTTAATACTAGATTAAACTTAAGAAAATGGGCGGTAGATTATAATATACCTCAACATGCTTTAAATGGGTTACTTTCTATGTTAAAACAACATAAATGTTTTAAATCATTACCAAAAGACTCTAGAACTTTGATGCAAAACATTACAAAAAATACATCAAATTTTTATACAATTAATCCAGGTTTATATTATCATTTTGGTGTGGAAAATGGAATCAAACTAAATATATATAGATGTTTAGAAAGTGATATCATTGAACTTGTTATTGGTATAGATGGGCTACCTTTATTCAAAAGTAGTTCTGACCAGTTTTGGCCCATATTAGCGTACATTCATTCAAATGGTTCTGTATTCCCAATAGGAATCTATTATGGAAAAGAAAAGCCATCTGATAGTAATCATTTTTTGTCTTATTTTATTGATGAACTAAAGTTGTTAGTTCAAAATGGGATTGAAATCGACAACAAAGTATATGGTGTAAGTGTACGTGTATTTTGCTGTGACGCACCTGCAAAGTCATATATTTTAAAAATTAAAGGTCACTCTGGCTTTTATTCTTGTTCAAGATGTGAACAAGAAGGCAAGTATTTACTTAAACGTGTTTGTTTTCCATATTTGAAACCTGAAAGTCGTCCATGTAAACGCACACACAGCAATTATTTAACAAAATCAGGTGAAGACCATCATGTTGGGGATTTATCAATAGTAGCTTCAGTGCCCAATTTTGATGTTGTAAATGATTTTTCTTTAGATTACTTACATTTAGTATGTTTGGGTACAGTTCGAAAACTGATACACTTGTGGATTAAAGGCCCAGTCAGAGTTCGATATCCATCTTGGAAAATCAACAAAATATCTGTATTACTCAATGAAATTAAAATCAATTGTCCAAGTGAAATTGCTAGAAAACCTAGAGGATTAGATCAAGTAAATCGATGGAAAGGAACTGAGTTTCGCACTTTTTTGTTATACGTTGGTACTGTTGTTTCTAAATCAGTTTTATCTAAAGTTCACTGGAATCATTTTTTTCATCTGAATATATCAATGATTATATTGTTAAGTCCTGAATATGCTCAATACTTAGATTTGGCTCGTCAATTATTGGATAGTTTTGTTGAGCATTTTGAAAGAATATATGGTCGTCACTTAATATCGCACAATATACATGGACTTTTGCATTTATGTGATGATTATGCCAAATTCGGTCCATTGGATCAGTGTTCTACTTTTCCATTTGAAAATTATATGGGTGTTTTAAAGAATATGATACGAAAACCTCATAAGCCATTAGAACAAATTGTAAATAGATATAACGAGAAAACAAGTGTTCCAAAACCCATAGATATAAATCAAGATAAATTTCATCTTTCTGGTCCCCATTGCAATGGACCAAAACTTGAAAGTACTACAAGATATTCTCAATTTAAGGTTCTTAAATCAAAAAATGCCATTATTAAATCACACATCGAAGCTGATTCTTATCTCTTAACATCAAATAAAAAAATAGTCAAAGTTTTTAACATCATTCAAACTGAACATAGTGATATTTTATTAATATGCAAGCAATTCAAACATTACAAATTATTATTTAATAAACCAATTAAGTCGTCATTGTTAGATATTTATGTTGTCAATGAATTATCTGAAGATTTAATTGTGTTAAACATTAATTACATTAAAAAAAAAGTATTTCTTATTCCTTCAAATAACTACTTGATTGCTTTACCGATTGCTTTATAATTAATTCATTCATTGATTTCATAATTTTTTTTTTTTTTGTAGATTTTTAATTATTAATAAGTACTTAATAATTATTATTACATTTTACCTATAGGTATTATTTTATTTATTTTATTTATTTTATTAATTTTAACTATATACATATATTATACATTTGGTACTAATTATTGAAGTAGGTAAATAGTATCTGTAGAAAAAATACTTGTACATTAACTTTTATTATATTTCATAATATTTAATTACAATAAACATACTTTTAACATACTATGTTTTTTAATTATAAACACAGATATTAATAAATAGTTTTAACTTGATTGGATAGTATATTTTCATCAGCAAGCTATGAATTATAATATTTGGTCTGGACAACGTAGGGCAGGAAAGCTAGTATATAACATAAATATGTATATATATATATATATTTCTTTATATATCTGCCAATATTAACAAGTTTGTTTTTAATAGCTTCCAAATGTGGTCGGTTGTAAACATTAAAAATGACAACTCTGTTGAAACAGTACCATCTTTTTGGATGAAAAAAGATAAATGTGCCTGGCCGAAAAAGAATCCCACAATGTTCATTAAACGTAGGATATTACCTAATAAATTTGATTTTGAATATCTGGATGCAAGAAAAATAGGCAAGGACTATGGTAAGAATTCTAAAAATTAATTATTTTTATGTTTATTATAATATAATCTTGTTAAAACGTAAACATAATATTTTAATTATAAAATATATACACTACTTTATAGGTAATATACTTGAAGCTAAGAGGAAAACAATACAAGCTCAAGATAATTCAAATCTGTCATCCGCCAATGAAGGCAATGGAGAACTGCTTACTAGACAGCAAAAGATTAAGAAAAAGTTTTTAGAAGTAGAAAATAAAAAAAAATCCAATGCTTTGTGGGATGACATCAGATCAGATACTAGTTAGTAATTTATTATTTTGTATTTTGTATATTTATATCACGGAATTATTAAAATAATATATTATTTATCTGCAAGACTTAATAAAAACATTATATTTTAGACTCATCTGATGATCATGGTTATGATGAAGACAAAGATCCTCCATATTCAATATCTAAAATGAAGGTTCTTGGTAAGATATTCAATAATGAGTAATATTATGCTTGTTCTAATAATCACTATTTTAGTAAATTCAATCTCATTATATAATTTAAATAAAATCATAAGTACCTATTATTTTAAGATACAATAACTATGTGTTCCTCATTCTACAATATTAAGTATATTATAATAGGTTATATACATTTCCTCCAGTTATTAAAATTTACAAAAATATTAATATTTTACCTTTTATACTTATAATGAATCATCTTACAGGGACTCCACCTTCTGGGAATAAATGTTCAGCTAATACTATCGAAAGTGATGATACTAACAATTTAACTCATTCGTATCCAGGAACATATAAAAGAAAATTAGAATTTAGCAATAAATGCAAATCTTTAAGTCCAAAATTAAATTCTTCTACAACAGTCGGTATGCCATTCTATAACAAATATTTTTATACATAGTTTATCAGTTTAATAATAATAATTTAATACATTGTATTTATTATTTCTAAGAAAAAGAAAATGATTTATTCTATGATACAAATCATGAGATACTAGTTACATCTGCATCCCCGTTCAAGGTAACTACTTCATCAAATGCTCCTGCTATTACTAAAGATATTGTTACTGAGATGTCTGGTAAGTTTAATTGACTAACATTCAATATTTACTGATCATACCTAAATAGAAATATTTTCACACTTTAAACTAATGGCCTCCTTATTATTGCCTAGATACTGTAAACAAAATCAACAGAACCACACTCAACATCTGGTATGAGGTTAAAACTTTCAGTGAAAGACTCGAGAAATTAGAAAACACTATTTCTTCAACAAAAAATCCAGAGGTTGATGGAATTATGGCAGTTACAGATGAGTTTTTTGACATTCTTTATAAATTGCCACTGGAATCTGAAGAAGAACTGGAAAGTTTTGAGATAAAATTATTGGACGATAATATTAAAAAAAAAATGGTAAAATTACATAATATTGGCAAATATTTTATAAATTAACTATTGTGGAAGAAATATGTACACTAAATTATCTTAAAATAATAGAGTATTTGTCATCATTTTATCAATGATTAGTATTTAAATTTAAAATTCAAAATCTGTCATTAGTCATAACTGTTAAAATTATAATATATAGTAATAATTATCATGTGTACTTAAGAGGACATTATACCCTTGTCCCCGTCTTACTAACACATAATATATCAAAATTAGTGAGTTATGAGTATTTTTAAATATTAATATTTTTCATACTCCATTTAAAAATTAAAATATCTTATAACTACTGAAACAACACACGTAATATTCTTGCATTTAAGTTTGATAATGAGTCAATTCACTCTTAATATTTAAGCAAACAACTTAAAATTAGAACTGCTGGACGTATATTTTTTATATATTATGTGTTAGTAAGACGGTGACAACATATTGGTCACGTAGGTACAATATGTCCTCTTAATAGTATATACACTAAACCAAACTGAAATTTTTTCATAGCACTCAAAAGTATCTTAAAAAATATTTGTGATGGACTGCAGTCTGTGAGTGTATACGTTTTATAGTAAATTTATACATTTTATAATAATATGTATTTGAATGTATTGAACATATACATTGCACTAAAGTATATGAGAAATATAGTAAAGCATCCTTATAACCATTACATTTATTAATTCTTGCTATTATAGATAGTTAATTTGCATTTTTTGAAAAATATGTTTCTTACAGATGTCTGAATTATCACGGATTGTACGTCCAACTCTACAAAGCACTATAAGGGCCATGCTAAGATTCCTGTTTACAGATTCCTTATTGATGAATTATAGCTATAAGGGTCAAAAAAAGAAAAAGATTTTCTCCACATTAGTTGTTTGCTCATTAATCTTCAGTAAGTTTATGGATTTATATAATTTTAAAACATATTATATTAACTATGTTATATTCAAAATGAGATCAGTACTGGGCAGTTAACTTATCGGGAAAAGACATTTAAATGTTCCCATCTGCTACTGATTTCATTTTTGGTAGAGCGTTTAAAAATTTAAAAAAAAACAACATGTAATATACCTTAATATATTTATTCATTTTAATGTTTTCAGGTTCATAAAAAAAGATTGAAAAATTTAAAAACAGCAATACCATCGATATCGAAGTACCTATTAAAGTGTTTATTGCTGGTGCCAAGTTTAGGTCAAAAAAACCAAACAATGACACTACAATAGAGACAGCTCATCATCAATCTAATTAATTTTAAATTTAGGATTTCACAATAATATTTTTCAGAGATACTCTCATATTATGTTACTTACTTTAATATTTTATTCAATTAAATAAAAATAACATGCATTGTATTAAATTTAGCAGAACAATAAATAACACTTATATACTAGTAATTAACCAATATTTTTGATTTGACTTTTTTCCTGCCCTGGTAAAAATATATTTATTATACACATGTATTGTTGTAGTCTTATTTTTTAGTGTGTACTGATTATTAATAACATATGTTATTATTTATAACATATATATGATTAACTTACATTTCAAAGCCTAAACTTTTCATCATAATTTATAACCAGTAGTATTAAAAATTGAAAAGAGAAGGTTGTAAATGGGGCTTTCTTTCTTGATTCTACTTATTGATATATATAATCCACAATATGGTTGTGGTGAGCGTCACCAATGTTATAACAAAATAATACTTTTCTTATGGTGTTTAAATAATAGCAGTATTAACTGGTGCATTTAAGTTTAAACTATTAGTATATGTGTATAAATATTAATTAAAAATTGTTTTGTTATTGATATAATAATTATTATTTATTAAAAAAACAATTCATTATTAATATATAATTTATTATCATTTTATAAATAACAATTTTACAGTGTTATATCAGATACCATATTATTTTATTGGTATTATACATTTTACATTATACTATATTGCGAGTATCGCTATTAATATATTATTATTTTATCATTATTTATAAAAATATTATATTGATGTCACAAAAAAAATATTTGATTGATAATACGAAAAAAATATTTTATAATATTATTTTTCAATTAATATATTAATGTAACTCTTGTGGCCAAAAAATATTCATAAGACATCATTTTGACATTTTTCAAATCAAAAAATAAGTTAAAAAAAATGTTTTTCTAATCATATTATTATGAGAATGATATTTTTAAAACATAAAAAAAATAATTCTTTGCTATCTGGGGAAGTGAGGTGTGGATGGTGGATTGAAGTGCCAGCTGATGTTCCGCGCTGTGAGAAAGCTTCTACACTTTTCCTGGTGTTCAGCGGATTGCGTGAATTGATCAACTGTTTCAAACAACTTGGAGGCGCCTACAAAGTTGGTTCCACAGTCACTGTGTATCTGTTGTATTGGGCCTCGGCGTGAAATAAAACGACTAAAGGCCATCAGAAAAGTCTCAGTGGACAAGTCTGAGGCGAGTTCAAGATGTAGCGCTTTGGTTGCCATGCAGACGAAGAGGCATATGTATGCTTGGCATGGTACAGTGCTGCGCGTTGTTGATGGTTTTAACATGATTGGACCAGCGTAGTCGACCCCGACTGCGGTGAATGGCTTTATTTGCTGTAAACGGAATTTTGGCAAATTTCCCATTACGGGCTGGACTCCTCGAGGACGAGTTCTGTAGCAGGCAATACAGTGACGTAAACGAGATTTAATAACTTGACGACTGGCTACAATCCAATACTGTTGCTGGATGATGGATTGTAGTGTTGTAGCCCCCGGGTGCTTGTGCTGACGATGGGTGTCGTCAATTAGCAAGTGAGTAAATCGATGTGTCCTCGGGAGAAGACTAGGGTGCTTCTGCTCACACGGAAGATCAGCGTGAACCAGACGACCTCCAACTCGTAGAATTCCACGGTTGTCAACAAATGGATTCAAGCCACGTAACTTGCTAACACCTTTGTGAGTAGGATCGCGGAGTTGCGTAAGTTCGTCACCGAACGCTTGGCTTTGTACGGCGAGTATAATGACCTCCAGTGCGTTACTTAGTTCGGTGGTTGATGGGTCGATTCTGTCGGGTTTGATGTTCGCAAAGACCCGTTTACAATATGCGATGATGCGAATGATCTTTTGTAATGACGAAAATCGACAGAAGAGACGGTCGAAAATGGTGTTGGTCCGGGTTGTCACGAGGACTGTGGGTCGTGCTTCAAGGTCTGTGACGGCCGTAGCAGAACATAAGGGCCATGTATTGTGATCTTGAACCAGGAACGCAGGTCCATTCCACCACATTGGATGTTTCAGGAGTTCAGTAGGGTAGAGTCCACGATACGCGCAGTCTACCGGATTTTCGCTGGTTGGAACATATCGCCAGAGTGATGGTGGTGTGAGGCTCTGGATCTGGCTGGTTCTGTTTGCAATAAACGTAGCCCATCGATGTGGAGATGATTGAATCCAGGCGAGAGTGGTCGTTGAATCAGTCCAGGCGTGCATGGCGTTGATGGAAAGTAGTTGTTTG